CACAATCTCCCCTGTTGAGCTGTTCTACTGTGTGTAAACAATTAAAGAATTCCTGGAGCAGGGGGACTGGACCGTGGGTCTCCCACCTGGGTGTCCTAGACATCAGGCTATAGCGTCATTCCCTTTCTCCTGCTATGCCTGGCCCAAAGACTCAAGTATTTATCCAAAGTTGAATACCTTTACCAGGAGAGTGAGGGAGCCGTGCCTCAGAATATCCCAGAGCTGCCTTCCGTTCTTTCTCCCCATCTAACAGAGGAGGGAATTGAACCTGGCTCTCCCACATCCGAGGTGAGTTCTCTAACCACTGGGCTACAAGTTATTAGCTGAGCACCTCCTCTTCCCGCCGTTTTGTAGGGACGAGAGACAGGTGCCTAACCCAGACTCACAAGAAACAGCTTAGGTGCCTAAGCCACCTGACTCCCTGAGAGGGATCCCTGGCTATGGACTGCTAGTTGCAATAGGTGTCTCCCTGCAGCCTGGATTTAGGTGCCTATCTCCACAAGGGGGTGGGGTTTATGACATACCCTCTGATTGGCATCTGCCACTGGCTAGTTTAGGCAGCATGCTGCCTTTTGTGATCACTTTCTGAGGGGCTTATCTCTCTGCATTCATTGTAGAGGAGGCTATGCACCTAATTCAGACTCTGTGGATCTCAGTAATTTTTCTAGGTGCCTAAAAGTTAGATGTTGCAACACAACACCTACATCCTGGTGTGGATCCAGGCCAGAGAGACTATGTGATTAGCCCAAAGTCACACAGGAAATCTGTAGCACAGAGGTCCCTAAAGTATGGGACATGTCCCCTGGAGGGGGCATGGAGGAATGTCTGGGGGGCGCAGCAGCCCTGGGCCAGCCCCCACAGGGGCAGAGAGGGAGAACCACCCAGCCTCTCTCTGCCCCAGCTGCGTCCCCGGCTCCTGGCCCTGCACCTGCCTCCAGCCTCGGCACAGCCTGGCTGTGGCTCCACTCCCACCCCTGGCCACAGCCTCAGCCCCACTCCCAGCTGTGGCTCCAGCCTTGGCCCCCTTATCCCTGTCCCCACACACACATCTCAGAGGATCCAGGGAAGAGGGGGGCATGGAGAGGGGTAAGGGAGGGGCACGACTCTCAAAAGTATGGGAACTGCTGCTCTAGCAGATCAGACAATTGAACCTAGGTTCCCTAGAGCCCAGGTTGGTGCCCTAACTAGTGGACCATCCTTCTTAAAAAGAAGACCTGAAGAGAAATGAAGTAGAAATAGCATTGCAGGGCCAAACCCCCCTCACCTCAGTCCCAAGGGCAGCCTCATTTACATGGGTAAAATAAGCAGGATTTGGCCTCGAATTTTTCAGAATTGCTGGGTAAAAGGAACACAACGATACTCAAGTGTTTGAGGGTTAATGTTTATCAGTGTTGTAGTTTTGGCTCCCCCCACCCCCCTCGACATTACCCCATCTCCCCTCCCCACTACTGCATGGCCAGAAAAGTAGCTTTTAAAGAAAAAGATACCAGAACTTCAGCTGGCAAGTGCTGGCAAACATGACTGAGCAAGTAGGGCATTTTTTTTTGTTTAGGAAGGTGCATTGATGTGCAGATGGCTGGAAGGGATTCAGAGCAAACCTCTTTTGATCTATGCTGCCATGAACTCAAGCATGTAAAAAAATAAATAAATACACAGACCTACAGATTATTTATACTCTACACTTTTAATGCAGTGTTACGCTAGGTAGTGTTGTCAGAGGGACTGATCCTCTAACCTTTCCTCAGACAAACTGTCCTGACTCTTACGAATAGTCACACTGACTGTAGGACGCCCCTCCTCCCAGTATAAAAATCTATCCCTCAGTTGACAGAAAATTATGCACAGGAATTCCTTAATTCTGACATTGCCCCCCTCAGTCGCTTTAAGCAACTCACTTCAGTTCTCTACCTCCATTTCTTCATATGTGAAATGGAGATAGTGGATCAAATCCTCAGCTGCTGTCAATCAGTATCACTCTTATCTGTTTGCCCTGCTTTGCACTAATGCAGACTGTCAACACCTGGGGTTAATTACACTGGTGTAGTTTTGTGATGTGAATTGCCTTAATGTAGGCAGGGAAAAATATAATTGTACCCCTAAGAAGCAAGGGAATGCTCCAAACTTATCTAACCACAGCAATGAGAAATGAGCATCTGCCATTAGCACATATGCCTTCTCTTGCCCCAGGTCAGGCATTAGCGTTACTGCTGTGGTCTCTTGCCATGGTCTTTCATCACTGGGCTAAAACAAACATCTCAGCTTTATCATGCTATTCTACATCTTGTCTAAAAATGGTTACACTTTAGGTTCACCCGCTATAGACTAGTTGCAGTGCTCTGTAGGCTTCCACAGATGTCGTGCTCAGAACACCGAGAACTCTGAGCCACGGTCTCTCACTCATGCTAAGACCTTTGCCGCTGCTAAGCTGGGTGTCAGCTCCCTGCCACACCAGCCTGCCTGTCTGGCCAGCAAACACTGCAAGACTTTGCCAGGCCAAACCTTGCCTTGCACGTGATCAGTGAACCTCAGAGACATCTCCCTGCAGCATCCGGTCCCTCTCACTGGACACTCACAGAAATTATTACGTTTGCCACCTCCGAAAAGACAGAGCACACATCAGCCTGTTAGGTTATCTGAAGTCTCACGCTTCACTTTAATACACAGCATGGAGATGGTTTTGTAATAAAACACAAATAACCTTATTAGCAAAGAACAGAGATTTAAGTGATACTAAACAAGAATAAGAGAGACAGGTATGATTACAAACAAAAACAAAACACTTTCCAGTGACTAAAGTTACAATCTTTGCCTAAGCAGTTTTCTTACTTACCTCAAGTTACCAGCATCCCTAGCCCTCCAGACTAGGGCAGTGGTTCTGAAACTGTGGGTCAGGACCCCAAAGGGGTCACCAGGGCTGGCTTAGACTTGCTGGGGCTCAGGGCCTAAGCCTGAGTCCCACTACCCCGGGCCAAAGCCGGAGAGCTTCCACCCTGGGTAGCAGAGCTCAAGTTACAGGCCCCCTGCCTGGGGCTGAAGGCCTTGGGCTTCAGCTTTGGCCCCCTGCCCAGGCCAGTGGGGCTCGGGCTTTGACCACCCCACCCCACCGAGGGCAGCAGAGCTTGGGCGGGCTCAGGCTTTGGCCCCCCTCCTGAGGTCATGTCATATTTTTTTTTTTGTCAGAAGGGGGTCATGGTGCAATGAAGTTTGAGAACCCCTGAACTAGGGGATCCAACTTTCACAGGCTCAAAGGGTATTGTACCCTACGTCCCCTTTGTTGTATAGCCAAAAGGTCTTTATGCTCCCTTTTTATTACTCAAAGTCCATTGTTTCTGCCTCAAGATCCAGGAAGGCTTCCTGGGCTGCAGATTCTGACCCTGGCATGACTGTTAAATAATCTTCTCCCCCCAGTTATTTAGCTTGATGGCTTTGTTTACCTTATATGTTAATGTATTTTCCACTGTACTCTGACTTACAAAGCTTGACTCAGACAGGTGAATCCACATACCTCTGTCTATGCCAAATGTGTTTATCAAGTCTGCCCCTGGAACATATTTCCAGCACAGATGCGTAACCATCCATCCATCCTTTAGTCAACGGTACTCCTGAACAGTGTGTCACCAGTTTACATGCGATACCTTATATTACACCCTTAGGATATATACTATGACAACAGTATGTTAGGGGCAATGAGTGTGTCAGAACTTATGGGCGTTACTGTTTGGGGGGCCCTCTGCTAGTTGGCATTGTGGGGCTCCCAGGATCACAGATGCTGCCACTCTAAGCTTCCTTTCCTCCACTTCTTTGTCACTTGATTGCCTCTTTAGCTGAAACATTGTGCTCAACCCTCCGCTGACCACTCACAGGTTGTTGGGCTAGATACAGGAATTCCTATATGAAATTATATGTCTTGAATGGTCCCTTCCAGCCATAAAAATCTATGAAACACCTGGGCAAAGTGAGTCAAAGTGGATGTGAAGCGCTACCAAACCAAAATGGTAGCATGGTTCTTGGAGAAAAGGATCCTTGTGTACTCAACACAGAATATACAAAAGTATAAGTGATAGGTTCTACTGTGCCACTAGTTTCGTTTCTTGTTATCAAGAGCATTGGTTCTCAACCAGGGATACGCGTACCCCCAGGGGTACGCAGGGGTCTTCCAGGAGGTACATCACCTCATCTAGATATTCGCCTAGTTTTACAACAAGCTACCAAAAAAGCACTAGCAAAGTCAGTACAAACTAAAAATTCATACAATGACTTGTTTATACTGTGCTATGTACTATTAATTGAAATGTAAGTACTATATTTATATTCCAATCGATTTATTTTATAATTATATGGTAAAAATGAGAAAGGAAGCAATTTTTCAGTAATCGTGTGCTGTGACACTTCATCTGATTTTGTAAGCAAGTAGTTTTTAAGTGAGGTGAAACTCACTTAAGTGGGGTATGCAAGACAAATCAGACCCCTGGAAGGGGTACAGTAGTCTGGAAAGATTGAGAGCCACTACCACAGGCTAGTGAGCAAGAGGAACAGGCTGTTTCTCTACTAGAAGGCAAGCTGTATGCAGTGTCTCTGGCGTGTTCTTCCAAAGGATTTCTTCAGCACAGCCAGCTGTTAGTAAAACTATTTGTGTGCATTCACTGCAGAAACCAAATCTAAACTCAAAAGGCAAAGACATCTCTGGCAAAGCGTCAGGTTTATCAATCAAATTGTTCTGCAAATGCATTATTCTATCATGCAGTACTTCCTCCACAGCATATTCCCCACCTGTGCCTTCACAGGAATCTAGGCATTAGTGTGCAGTGACCGAACAAGGAGAACAGGAACAAGTTAATAGTACCAACTTCAAGTCAAGAACTGCCCTAGCAAAGCTGGGTCTGCAGCGTCAGACTCTCTTGAGTCTCAATTAGTATGAACAGACAACAAGGAAATCCATCTCAGAACCATGGCAGAGTTTTTTGCACTGATCTGTTTCACACCTGCTCAGCTATTTGTACTCTCAACAATATGCATGTCGTTATTAAGGGAGACCAGGTGGATAGCGGAGGAATTCGTTCTTACATCAACATCTGCAGGGGAAACGAGCACAAAGACTAGGTGGCAAGGGCAGCAGCATTTCCAGGGCCTACTTTCCCATGGTCCTAGACACAGTGATGTCAATGGAGCCTGCTGGGTTATGAATGAGCGGTTTCTGTTCAGTGCCCCTGAGCTCGGGGGAGGGAAAGATCAGGATCCGAGGTGCACAGCTTGGGCCCTTCTTTATGTTAAATTGATAATGACCCACTGCTTGTTTGTTTGTTTTAGGGGGAGGGAAAATAAGGGGAGGTTCTATTGTTTGCTAGGAAGCAGTGGCTGGATTTAAGATGTTTTTTCCCCTTATCTTCTATATTGATTTTTTTTCTGCCTGACAGAGGAAATTAATTCACTAACAGACCTACACTAATAAACTGATCCTATGTGCAAAATATAAGCCTCAAGACCACAAACAATTACACCCTGATCTAGCAAACACTAACACACATGCTTAACTTTATAAATGGGGGGAGTCCCTTGTAAGTCAAGTTAAAGACTTTGCAGGATCAAGGTCTTAAACCCCTGCTTACCTCTACTCATGTGCATAGTTCCATTGCAGAACTATACATGGGGAAAGCGAAGCAGGTGCATACACATTTTCAGGGTAAGTGAAGAAACATTTCAGTGTCAGGGATCTAAACAGTTGTGCTAATCAGTGAGCAGAATATGATAAACATAATCATAGCCTTTTAAATATACTTCAGTTATTCAACCTTACTTTCAGACCCAAACTTTTCCATTTTGGCTGAAAACTGGAGCACTGCTTTTCAGCTTTAGATCCATACCGTTGGACTAAAGAAGTCCAGCACTTCCCCACTACGAGCAGAAGAGTGAACATTCCCTTCTCCCAAAACAATAAAAGATGATTTTTAAAACAAAAAATTGGCAGATCCTTAGTTTGGGTTGGTGTCTTTCCACATGACCAATAGAATCATAGAATATAAGGGTTGGAAGGGACCCCAGAAGGTCATCTAGTCCAACCCCCTGCTCGAAGCAGGACCAATTCCCAGTTAAATCATCCCAGCCAGGGCTTTGTCAAGCCTGACCTTAAAAACCTCTAAGGAAGGAGATTCTACCACCTCCCTAGGTAACGCATTCCAGTGTTTCACCACCCTCTTAGTGAAAAAGTTTTTCCTAATATCCAATCTAAACCTCCCCCACTGCAGCTTGAGACCATTACTCCTCGTTCTGTCATCTGATACCATTGAGAACAGTCTAGAGCCATCCTCTTTGGAACCCCCTTTCAGGTAGTTGAAAGCAGCTATCAAATCCCCCCTCATTCTTCTCTTCTGCAGGCTAAACAATCCCAGCTTCCTCAGCCTCTCCTCATAACTCATGTGTTCCAGACCCCTAATCATTTTTGTTGCCCTTCGCTGGACTCTCTCCAATTTATCCACATCCTTCTTGAAGTGTGGGGCCCAAAACTGGACACAGTACTCCAGATGAGGCCTCACCAATGTCGAATAGAGGGGAACGATCACGTCCCTCGATCTGCTCGCTATGCCCCTACTTATACATCCCAAAATGCCATTGGCCTTCTTGGCAACAAGGGCACACTGCTGACTCATATCCAGCTTCTCGTCCACTGTCACCCCTAGGTCCTTTTCCGCAGAACTGCTGCCTAGCCATTCGGTCCCTAGTCTGTAGCTGTGCATAAATGAACTTGAACAGATAGCTATTGTGCAAATATATTTACTAGAGTCAATTAAGGCACAGACAAATGCCTATGGTCTCCGCTCCTGGAGTTATGTGGTGACTCAGGTGTAACCAACGCTGTGACATCTGCTTGAGTCTGCCAACATCATGAAACAATAACTGCAAGAGATCAACTGACCCATACATCTCAATGGGATGGTAACGCTGAAACCTACTGCTCTCCTCCCCTGGACTGGGGAGGGCCGCTCTGCTGCAGCGGTGTCAGTAGCTAGCCTCTCCAACAGTGTTGTCTGCCTGGGTGGATAACAGTTGAGTCCTCCCTCTTCTGGATAGGCACCAGCCTGCCTGGAGGTAATGAGCAGTAGTCCAGGACATGGGAAGGGCTTAGCCTGCCCAACAAAAAGAATGAGCCAACCAACTCTTATGTAGGGGGCCCTTGATTTCAGTGAAAGTTAGGACACATTTTTATGTCTGATTTTGTAAGCAAGTAGTTTTTAAGTGAGGTGAATCTAAACACCTTCATAGACCTGGGCCCTTGTCATTCTCACATCAAATAAGGTCAGAGCCATGTGAAGAGGTGCATGGGACCCCAGCCTGCCTTAATCCAACCCTGACATTTAATGAACCAAGAATGTTGCACCCCTTAAAATGAGCAGAAGAAACTTAGGGAATCAAGGATGCATGTTTGCTTCCATTGAAATTAAATCAGCCTCAGAACTGACATATGTTGAACGGAAAAAACTAACATAGCAGGCTGTCCAGAGATTCCAACTCTGATTCAGTTCTTGAAACCCCCATAGCTATCCATGATTTATACCTGTAGACCTCAGATACTCAGTGCACCAGGATAGGTTATAAACATTGTTCCAGGAGGAGATTAAAACTCTGAATGCTAACTCAAGCCCAAAATGTCTTTGGATGCTAGGATTGCCTTGGTATTAAATTAGAGTTAAGAGACAGCTATTTTTCATTAAGCCTGACCTCTCAGTCAGCTTTACTATGAATCTGCTGTCTATTTTCTAGTCACCTCCAGCTTCCTGATAGCAATCTGCTGCTGCCAGCAACCCCGCTGAAAAGAAGGTTCTAAAACACACTGAAATACACCATTCCTGCTTGACCTGACCTTGCACTCCCAACAAACTTGTAAAGCAATTCATCAAAGCCTCATTAGAACCCACAGTTCTGGTTAATTAACCCAGCCGGTCTGGGAGGGATGGTTAATTGTGGCTAATTAAACACACCTTTAATTATGCTTGTTTTCACTAGCCCTGCTTCACCTAAAGAAAATGATCTTGCAATGCCTCTGCTGAAAGCCCATCAGTGAAAGATAGGAATAACATTTTCACACTGAACTAATTTGTAAGGATGTTGTTGTATGCAATACTAAAGGGCTACCTTTCAGTCTATACCAGCTCACCCCCATTAAGGAAACTTCATCTTCAATTTACCTTTATAATATTAATGATAACAAATATTAAGTTAAAAGCACTCAGGGTGGAAAGGTGGCCCAGATCCATTGCTGAGGGGTTCAAAGCGCCTCTTTTTGCACCTAGCTCTATTAGGGGGACCCACGTGGAAAGTTCAACGATGAAAACCACGGTCTGCCATGTGAACAAGACACTTTCCCTTCAACGCAAGAGGAAAGCTTTAGGTGGCCTAGGCTTGAAGAAATTCAGCCCCCTCCCCGTTCTCTAAAGAGCTGGTTGAGTGGGTGTGCAGATCAGCCTCTGGCTTGGGTTCACTGTAGTATAACAGCGTCTCCCACAGAGGGGCAGCACCTTTACACGCTGGGCTGCTGTACCCAGCCGTTAGCCAGCAGCTTGCGGGGGGCTGCACGGTTCAGAAGGTAGTAGCCATACCCGGTCCAGTTCGGGTTGCATGTACATGCACTGCCGTTTCAAGGGGCAAGCCCCCGACGGAGTGGGAAGATCTCCGGGGAAGCGTTGGCTGGGACTGGAAAGGCTGGCGAGACGGGAGCTTTCCCCTGCAGCAGCTGGATGCAGAACCCGGGACCGGCGGCAGGCGCTGCGATCGGGCCCCGCCGCGACACTCCAGCCTCCCTGCGCTTAGCCCAGCCGGGGGGGACCCTTGCTTGCAGCTCGGGGCTCGCTCTTTCGCAGACGGGCTTTGTCCCGCGGGGGAAGGGCCCGGTTTAAAGGGGACACGCCCCCTTTTCTGCACGTGCCGGCCCGGGCCCAGCTGGTCGGTTCATTCCCTCAATCAGGGCCAGGTGCGAAGGCAGCGCCCTGGATCGCGCCTGCCCGAGAGCAGCCCCCGCAATGCCCCGGCTCGGTCCGCCCCGGCAGGACGCTGCCCGCTTCGGCCCCGCATGGAGCCCTCGCTGGAGAACTACTGGGACCGGAGCCCGGGCCAGGTGGGTGCGCTCCGGCCCCACGTCCCCGCTAGAGCCGCGGCTGAGCCCGGTACCGCAGCTAGCTGCTGCTGGGGGTGGGGGCTGGGGGGGGCCCTGCTGCTCCCCCCAGCTGGCTGAGAAACGGCTACCCTATTCTCCCCCCCCCTTTTGTCTCCTCTCCAGGCTCCCTGGAGCACCCAGGGGCTGGGCTGACCCCCCTAGCTGGCACTGAGCCATTGCAGGGTCTCCTTGCCATACAGCAGCAGCAGCATCTAGGGGGGTGGGGGCTGTGGCGCCCTTTGCCCTTCTCTCCTGAGCCTGTCAGGGGACCTAGGGGGCTGCCCTTGTATTGGCGGTGGGGCTGCCTGGGCCAGCTGGGGCCTGCCCAGAGCATTCTCCTCAGGGCAGGGCCTGTCTGTTCCGTTTGTACAGCGCCTAGCACGCTGCCCTGTGACTGGGGCTCCTAGGTAACAATGCCATCCTACAGCTACAATAATCCCATTGTAGGATCGGGGCCTTTGACTGTCTCCAGCTCCTCTCTGGGCTTCAGTCAGCTCCAACAATGAAAACGAATGAGTGATTTCAGAGTAACAGCCGTGTTAGTCTGTATTCGCAAAAAGAAAAGGAGGACGTGTAGCACCTTAGAGACTAACCAATTTATTTGAGCATAAGCTTTCGTGAGCTACAGCTCACTTCATCGGATGCATTCTGAATGAGTGAGATTCACTCTGACCTTCTCTGTTCCCAAAGGCTCTTCTTTAAGATTCCCTGACTGTGGAACAAGAGCCCTAGGACAGAGGAGCAGCTAGTGTCTTAATCCCTTGTCCTCCAACTCTGCCTAGGTCTCATCGAAGTGCTGGGGCCCCTAGGAGGCCTCTCATCACCACTAACACCTGTGGGACTGAACAGGTGGAAAACATCTAGGAAATCCCTTTAGGAGGAGAGAGGCCCTTTTGAAGTCTTATGCACTGTCACAGGGCTCTGCAGGTTCTTAAGGACCTGTCTGGGCTGCAGCCCGGACTGTGTTTAAAAAGCTCTCCTGAAGAACTGAGCTCTGGTCAGGTAGTAGACTGAGACTGGCCTGTGCTAACAAAGCAGAGGGGCAGGTTCCATTTTTGTAATGGTGCCTGCAAAGGTTCAGAAAATACAGGGGGGAGATTTATACACACAAAACATGAAACACTGGGCGTTACCAGACACACTGTAACCAGAGTGATCAGGTAAGGGGAGCTATTACCAGCAGGAGAATGGGGTGGGGAACCTTTTGTAGTGATAATCAAGGTGGGCCATTTCCATTACTTGATTATTGGTACAAAAGGTTCTCTTGCCCCCCTCCCTCCCCCCCCCCCCCGCTCTCCTGCTGGTAATAGCTCACCTTAAGTGATCACTCATTACAGTGTGTATGGTAACACCCATTGTTTCATGTTCTCTGTGTATGGATAGCTCCCCACTGTATTTTCCACTGCATGCATCCGATGAAGTGAGCTGTAGCTTAAGAAAGCTTATGCTCAATTAAATTTGTTAGTCTTTAAGGTGC